AAAAAAAAAAAAAAAGTTAAAAAAAAAAAAAGAATATCAAGCCTTTGGAAATGATAACTTAGCAACCAAATTTGCTGCAAAACCTACCTGTTTGGGTGGTGAAAACCCATACTACCTCTTGACAAACCATTCTATTCACGTTCTGTTATTTTTTTTTTCTTACATTAGACATGCAAATTTTTCTTCAGCTGGCAAGGCTATTACTGTCCTGTTCCGAATTGTCACCGGGGAAGACTGGAACAAGATTATGCATGACTGTATGGTAACTATCTCCTCTCACTAGCAGTTGCCTCCACTTAGAATCAGCCTGAAGCTCTTTGGCAATGCAGTATTGGCAGTATTGGCAGTATCATCCTCGTTTACATCAAGACAGTTAGCGTAATGGCTATGTCGCTGGACTCCCATGTAGTCGACCGCAGTTCGAGTCCTGGACCTGGTGGCTTAAACTCACGCCGGGTGCATGTGCTTGCGTGCCCAAGATCCCAAGAGGAGAATAGAGGAGAAGGAATTGCAGCATGACCATCCCCCCTGGGGGGTGATTTCTCGCTTTCTATCTCTCTGTCTCTCTCTGTCTGTCTGGCGAGCGCATGCGCCCTATAGCAAAAACCTCTCAAAAAAAATATATATAGGGGCTTTTTGTCCATGAAATCGCATTCTTTTACATTATAGTGTATGAGTATTCAGGGCAAAATACTCAATTAAGCCAACCCGATTATTGCAATTCCATTTAGGTACATATACATTCTGTATTGTTCCCCACCCTCCCCCAACACACACCTTTTACATGTTGGCTGTCAAAGTGAAACAGGACAGCTTCTCTTTTTCTAATTTACTGTGTTCAATAGATACTCAATAAAGCTCTGGTTCATCTTGGACATGTGCTAGGTGCTAGGTCTTCAGCAATTCTGTCTTCAAGGAGCTGGTATCAAGGACTCTGGGCCTTCCTGCCTTTGGTATCCTTCCTTCTCCAGGCAAATTCTTCATCATCCTTCTGGTTTCCATTTAAATATCCTTTTTTTTTAGGACTTCTGCCCTAATCTAAGAATTTCTCCTTTGTAGCATATATTACAACTGTATTCAATATTGGCTTTAATTAGTTTATTTCATCTCTCACACTCCAGATCAATGCTGTCCTGTGGAAAATTCCAGTGAAGGAAACTTGTGCCATCCAATACAGGAGCCACTAGCCACATGTGGTTGCTGAACCCCTGAAATGGACTAGCACAACAGAGGAACTACATTTTAAATTTTATTTCATGTTTATTAATATAAATTTATATTGCCACATGGAGCTAGTGACTGTCATGTTGGACTGTGCTGCACCAGGTTGTCACCTGCAAGGGGTAGGGAGACAGGCCTATGTCTTCATACTCATCTCTTGCCAACACTTGGCACAAACTTAGCACATAGAAGGAGCTCCACGACTTGGTGCATGAGTGCATGGGAAAAGAACTTACCAAATCAAATAGAACCCAAGACAAGGCCAGTCCTGCAGTACAGTGGCTAAACACTACAGAGGAAGCCAGATCCTACATGGCTGACCAGAGCTTCAGTCCCTTCCCATCCTGGATGGTTTAAGAAACACACTGGGTGTGTGCATGTACCAGGATCTTGACAGGATGAAGAACTGAAAGAGAAAGGATTGTGTCATGACCAGTTCCCGTTGTGGAGGGCTTTCCCTCTCTCCCTCTCTTTCTTGTGCATGCACACATACCCTCTGGTATAAAAAAAGGATAAATTAAAAATGTGTATAACCCACGGTAGAATTAAATAAATTCTAGATAAAAGTATAGGCAGAATAGTCAAGGAATATAAAACAAAGAGCTAGTGTCTGTGACAAAAAAAAAAAAAGGAAGGTTTCTCAGAGATATTGGCATTTTATTGGGCCCTTGAAGAATGATCAAGCTTTTTTCTTTCTTTTTGAGAGTTTTTAGCTATAGGGCGCGTGCGCTCGCCAGACAGAGAGAGAGAGACAGAGAGACAGAGAGACAAAAAGTGAGAAATCACCCCCACCGGGGTGGGGGGGTGGCCAATCCTTCCCCCGCCATTCTCCTCTCGGGATCTTGGGCACGCACGCACATGCACCCGGCATGAGTTTAAGCCACCAGGTCCAGGACTTGACCCTCGGTCAACTACATGAGAGTCCAGCAACATAGCCATTACGCTAACTGCTGGTCCCAAGAATGATCAAGCTTTTGATAACCTTAGTCTTGTGCTCTTCTATCACATCCCATAAGGCAGTCCAGGAGTGGGAATTACTCCTCATATAACTTGGATGCGAATTGACACTGTACAGTCTAGCTTCCTAAATCTTAACTTATTACTTAAGTCAGGGAAATTTGTTAATGCCTTTTCATTTGGCTTTCTGCTGTCTACGTCTTAGTGGCTGCTTAACCAGTTGAGGCTAATAGAGGTGGCAGGAAGGGTATGTAGTAGAGGAAGCTGGCTTTTTTTCATTGTGTTTCAAAAAATGGCAGTGACTTGTGATTCTACAAGACTAGAAGCAGAGCATAAATGAAACATTCTTTTTTATTTTTGCTACAGATTGTGTACCCAATGCATATGGCTTTTGAAAGACTGCTTTGAAGTTAATTATATTCTATACCATTAGGAATATGTCAGTTAACAGAAATGAGTATTCTTCTCTCCTCTCATCCTCTCCTCCCTCTCCCACCCCACCTCCCCAAAGGTTCAGCCTCCTTTTTGTACTCCAGATGAATTTACATACTGGGCAACAGACTGTGGAAATTATGCTGGGGCACTTATGTACTTCTGTTCATTTTATGTCATCATTGCCTACATCATGCTCAATCTGCTTGTAGGTAAGTGATGTTCGTTGAATATTTTGTAATCTCTTTAAACTCAGGTACTTAGATAATTATGTACAATTTTCTAGTAATTATCCTGGATTGCTTGGGGCGGGTATTTCATGGCATTAATTATAAATTGTTGCCTCTCAATCCAGAAGCTGAAAAGACCTTTGAAAGGCATGTAAATGACAGTTGATTGCAATTTCCAGAGTTCTACTATTTATTATGATCGTTAATTTCAAAAGAGTTGTTCTCATGGATTGAGTTGAACACATTTTGGAAAGGGCTACCTTTATAGCTTTGAAATATCACAATTATGTTTTTGAAAGATACACATCATTCGCCCAGCTGTGGGGCCACCCCGAACTGAACACGACCTTTAAAAACTGCCCTGGAACTCTCAACTAATAGTTAAGCCAGCTGGCTTGGATATCGGCACACACAGAATGTGTGTCTATTTTCATGACCCTCATGTTTTGGAAGGGCAGGAGCTGGATAAATAGCTTATTCCAAGTGGAAAACATGCCAACTTGGAAACCATATTAAAAGCACTTTAAAAATTTGGCTTATAATGTAGGTGATAAAATTCATTATTTATAATAGATGTTTTACTTTTTCCAAAAAGTGATAGATTAACATAAGCATTCAACTTCTCATTTTTTTCCTCTTCTTTCTTAGCCATCATTGTAGAGAATTTCTCCTTGTTTTATTCCACTGAGGAGGACCAGCTTCTGAGTTACAATGATCTTCGCCACTTTCAAATCATATGGAATATGGTGGATGATAAAAGAGAGGTGAGAATGTGGAACACTGATCGGTGCCCCACCCCAAATACACTTGCTGACATCTCTCCAACATTAAAATGGCTTTCTGGTTGGCAGTTAACATTGTTGAATTTTGAATGGCCATGGGCGAATTGCAGAGTTGTCCTTGACAATTCAGCAAAATATGCTCAGAAGGACAGAATAGTTCCTCCTTATGTCCTTTCCAACCATGAATAATTTCTTCTTCAAATTTTAGAAGGTCAACAAGGAGAGGGGTGTGAGAGAAATCAAGGCACAGCGCTTCACAGATTCATGGGCACCTCGGCCCCAAGCAGCAATCCTGATTAAAAGTACAAAGGAGTTGCTGAAGTGGCAGCTGAAGTTGGTTTTTGAAGTATTTTTGAGTGATTATTTGAATGTTTTAACCCTAAAGCTTACACAAGATTCCCTCAATTTATGAAGGCAGCAGTTTCTTCATCTTCTCTTTTTTTCCTTCTCCTCTTTCTCTTTCTCCTTCTCCTTTTCTTTGTCCTTTTTTATCCCAGCAAGCACTGACATGCTTGGAGGCACTGAGGACATAGTAAGGAACAAGATGGGAAGGCCCCCATACTCACAGAGCTTATGTTCCAATAGGGAATACAAAAAGTAAAAAGGAAACCAATAATAGTAGTAGTCACCGTCAACGTAAAGTAAATGTTAAGAAGGTCCTAGCACTTTGATTGAGTGAAGATGAGATCTATGCCCAGGTTTATCATCCAAGAAGTTATACATGTTTTGAAGAAGGTGAAATGCCAGAAAGCACTTGGGTCAAGACAGACGTCTCCAGCAGGAGGGTCACAAAGACCTGTCATATTTGATCTAAAAGCAAGGGAAGTTCAGCCATGGGAAGATTTGACCATCTTTTTAGGAAGCGTTAACCAAGAACTCAAAGACCAAGGAGCCAGAGCGGGCCCTCTCCACCACTCTAATCTTTCTCCTGGGTACTCTACCTCACTTGGGCTCCAGACTCTTGGGTGTTTTTCCGAAACAGTGACCTACATGTGTGGCATCTGATTAGCCCTTTTGTCTCATCTGGGCCCCCCTGCATCTCACCTGCAGTATGCAGGGAAGACCACACTGTCATTCACTGAGGTGGTAGTACTGGCAAGAAGCCGTGGGGTACCAGCTCCTGCCCAGAGCTTTCATTCCCAGATATAGCCAGGGCTGGCACAGTCTGGGAGGGAATGATGTGTTTTAGGGTCTCTGGGTCTGGATATACCCTGGCCTAGGAAGAAGACAGAGCTGGGAGCCCAGTTCACTAGTCTATAATTGTTCTAGTCATGAAAAGCTTTTAATAAAAGGAAAATGTATAGTAAATATTAAAAAGTTCCTAGCATTTTGATTGAGTGAAAAGGAGATCCGTGCCCATGTGCATCATCCATTGCTTTGTGGGGAGGCCTGACGGACCCACTCAGCAGGTGTATGGGTCAATCAAAGGGGTAAGCCAGGGGAGCAGACAGGAAGTGCTCTACCCTCTTTGGCTCCAAATTGTCAAGATATTCCATGGAACTAGAGATGCACCAGCAGAAACTCTTACTGCTCAGCTTTGTATTTCATGCTCTTCTTAGCTCACATACTTCCACCCAGCCTGTCCAAAGGTGAGCAGCTGCCTTTACTCCCAGTGGTAATTAGGTTGTCTTTTGAGAATAGTTCCTGGTGTTTTTGTTTTTCTTTTGTTTTGTGTGTTTTGCTTGCTGTGACAAGAGCTCCAAGTGACTGGTGATGGCCAAATGATGACTTATCAGTCTCTGTGCCCTGACACCCAGGGGGTAATTCCCACCTTCCGCGTGAACCTGCTGAGGCTGCTGCGAGGGAGGCTGGAGGTGGACCTGGACAAGGACAAACTCCTGTTCAAGCACATGTGCTATGAGATGGAGAGGCTGCACAACGGTGGTGACGTCACCTTCCACGACGTGCTGAGGTAAGAGACAGAGCTTTGCAGCTCAGTGTTGCCGAGCTGAACGGAGTCCAGACACTAGGCTGTGGTCATGAAAGGGCCGTGAAATGTAGTTTGGAGGATGTTCATAACCTCGAGTGCCACATCTCCCATCATTATAAAGGAGGGTCACCCTTCCCAGGCACTAAGCGGCCTTTCTTTTCTTCCTCCTTCCTTCTTCCTTTCATTCCTCTTTATTTTTTTTTTTATAACTTATTCATTTAGAGACCAGCATATGGCACAATGATTACATCTCTGGACTCTTATATATTTGACTGTAGTTCAAGTCCCGGACCTGGCAACTTAAAACTCACTCCAGGCATTTATGCATGCATGCCCCAAATCCAAAAAGGAGGGTGGAGGAGAAGGGACTGTGGCGTGGCCATCCTCCCTGGGGGAGTGAATTTTTGCCTTTTGTCTCTCCATCTCTCTCTGCCTCTCCAGCAAGTACACATACTCTCTAGCAAAAATCTCCTCCCCTCAGAAAGAAATGTTTATTCACCTATTTATTCCATGAAAGACAAGAAAAGAGAGAAAGACAGAAAGAGAAGGATAGACATTCTCAACAGGCTCTTCACACCACACTCCGTCTCCTGCTTCTGCCAGTCCAGATGACAAGTGTACTTGTGTGCGCCCAGTGTGTTCAGGGAAGTCCTGGGATGCAAACCCAAGACCTTTCCCATATGGGTCAAGTTGTGCTTTTGCTGTGCCACTGCCTGGCCCCTGGCATTTTCTTCAACAATGACTAGGGTAGCAAGGCACAGCAGCATTAATTAACAGCAGCGTGTTTGTCATCAGTAGAAACCATGGATATCTTCAGATCTCATTGCTGACTGCCTTGGCTCATATCTTAAGATATCATTTATGCTCCTTGAGGCTTGTAAATTATAGGAGTCATTTGACCTCAGCTAGCTGTTGTTATTCAATGCAATAATCAAGAAGCTCTTGCATTTCCGTATCACCACTTTAAAAAAAAATAATTTGAGAACTATATTTCAATATAGTGGGTTGTCTTTGTAATAAATATAATTTTTAAAATATTATTTTAAGAAATGTCCCAGAGACTCCACTGCCCACAGGGTCTATGCTACAGAAAAAGCTAAGAGCCCTCAACCTCCAAAAGCTAATGTAATCTCGTTGCAGGTGCATGACCAGTTAAGTGTTGGGCATTGTGTCACAAGTATCAGGAGCATTCAGGTATACAGAATTAGATTTGTGCCTAAAGGTTGAACAAAGATGAGATCAGAACAGAAAGAATCTGGGAAAATCCTCTCAAGTAATCAATTTTACCTCCCACTACTTACTTCTTCCATGAACAAACTAAAAAGCAAAAACTACATGTGAGTACAAAAGATGGCATCCATTTCAGACTGTTCCTGGATTTCTTCCTAGTGACAATTTAATTTTCAGGTTGAACATGAGGCACATAGAAATACTGTTGGCATTAATAATTAACATTCAACCTCTCTGAAACACAGTGATGCCTCTAAAGAGAAGGTACCCAGGCAAAGTCTTCGATGGTGCTGGCTGCTCCCTCCCTGTCCCTCTAGCTCCTTACGTGATAAACAGTCAAACAATGATGAAATTCTTGATGTGTCAGGGAAGAGAGGAAGAACAAAGTTATTCTCCCCTCCATATGGGATGAGATTTAGCAAAGAAGAGAAGGCCGATGTGCCAGGCTCTCTGGAGCCTCTGCGCTGTGGTTTGGGCTCTGCTAGTAGAACTGACCTCACAGCAGGGGCTGTGCAAGGAGCCGAGTGATAACCGGGATTCTGTGTCCACACAAGGGGCACCAAGCTGCCAGAAGGGGCTGTATTTCCTTTTGGTTGTTGACCCCTCGATGCTGAGATACTCTTATTTGCTCATGGACCCCTGTGCAAACAATGATTGTGTGAGCTCCGTTACCACTATCGGGGTCTATAGTACCAAGGTCCAAGTGGGAATGAATACTCAGTTCTGCCTTTGTGTCCTCTGCAATTAATAAGGAAGATGCAGAAGGACAAGTAGGATGAGTAGAGAACCTGGGGCAGGGGCATCCCGACAACCGCTAAGCATATTGGCCACCGCCAGTGGGAGCCAGATGTGAAGAAAGTACAGATGGAGCCATCTTCCATCTGAGGGCATGTCCAGCGGGCTCCTTGGCAGGTGGCAATGCAGTGACAGCTAGCTGGAGCTCGTTTCATAAGCCCTGAGATGCCACTTACTGTTATAAGTACCTCACGGATATTAACTCGCTCAGACCTTTATTAGGTAGGTACCACAATAGTCGCCATTTTGTAGACAAGGATGGGAGACACACGGAGGTGATGTAACCAGCCCAAGTTCCCCAGCCAGAAAAAAACTGGCATCACACTACTCTTGTTGGGTTGAGAGCTATTCCCTCTGAATTTGGAAATGTCAAGGGTCTGACTCCCAGAGGAATCAGACTTGAGACTGCCGTTGTCTTTGCCCCACCAGCATGCTTTCCTACCGGTCCGTCGATATCCGGAAAAGTTTGCAGCTGGAGGAGCTCCTTGCAAGGGAGCAGCTGGAGTACACCATCGAGGAGGAGGTGGCCAAGCAGACCATCCGCATGTGGCTGAAAAAGTGCTTGAAGCGCATCAGAGCTGTGAGTGGACAGCAGTGCAGGCACAGGGGTTGGGCTTTCTCCTCTCTCCTTGAAGAAGAGGGACAAAAGGAGAGACTTTCATGAACAAGGGAATTAGAGCTTTCTGTGACTAGACTTATATCCCCTTTAACTATGTCAACTTCATCTGCTTGTGTTGTTCAAATGTCTCTGTAAGCCTTAACTCTAGTCCATATTCAGTTTGTACTCTTCACTAAGGTCCATAACAAGTGTTAACTGAGGGACTAGCAGATGGTGTAATGGTTACATCGCTTGACTCCCACATACTCAACTGTGGTTCGAGTCCCAGACCCGTTGGTTAAAACTCACACCTGGCGCATGTGCATGCATGCCCAAAATCCTGAGACGAGAACAAAGGAGAAGGGTATGGCCATTCCCCCTGGGGGGGTGATTTCTCACTTTCTGCCTCTCTGTCTCTCCCTCTCTCCAGTGAGGCCATGTTCCTATAGCAAAAAACTCTATAAAAAAAGTGTCAACTGAATCTCATTTTTGCAGTATGACATGAAGACTGAAAAAGCAGTTTATTGATATTAAAATATTTATAATCTCCATTTATCAAATTCACCTGTACAAATTTCCAAAACTCTTTATATAGACTGGCAACTAAATTTACAAGACTACTTTTAAATTGCTACTAAAGATTCTAACATCCTATTGAAGATGTTGTCTGGTTTTTAAAGACACTTCTCCTTAGATCTCTTTGCTGCTCCCTGAACTATAAGCTTAGCAGATTTTCTAACTCATAAATTAATGAACAAGTGTTATGCTGTCAAATACCATGTTTCTAGTGGTTGTTTCCATTCGGTTATTATTTTTATGAAAGCTTTTGACTTATGCTTTACACACAGAGAAAATATTATACTAATCAATAGACATTTATAAGAAATCACAATTTTTTTATCCAGTTCCTCAGAATGGCAGCATCAACTGCAGAAATATAATTTTCTTTCTCTCTTTTTTAGAGAGGTTTTTGCTATAGAGGTTTTGCTCGCCAAAAGAACAGAGAGAGACAGAGAGACAGAAAGCAAGAAATCATTCCCCAGGAGGGATGGCCACGCCACAGTCCCTTCTCCTCCGTTCTCCTCTTGGGATCTTGGGCATGCACGCACACGCGCCCAGCATTATACATTTAAGCCACCTGTCTGGGACTCGAACCACGGTCGACTACATGGGAATCCCGCAACATAGCCATTATGCCAACTGCTAGTCCCAAGAAATATACTTTTCTATTGGAGGAGAAAGGTCCTCAGAGAAAAGAAACACCCTAACCCCCTACAGCAAGACCAACTGTCCACAGTGGCCTGGTCACAGCCACCCACTGTAGCTTTATTAGCTCTGGGAACCATGTCTGTCCTCCATTGACCCTGAGATGGGACAGGGAGTTCCGGCTTCAGTACTTGCCAACTGGCTTGTCCTATGGGGTCCACAGCCTGCAAAATCCAGAACAAGAACAAAGGCTTCCTCATCCACCAAGTCTCTCTCTGCTTCTTATAACTTGCAGAGATGGTGGGAGGGATGGCTACATTGGCTTAATGAACATAGAATAAAATGGGAAGGGAAAACATAGAACACCCATGTTAGGCATTTTAAGTAAAACCTAGATATATAATATCAATAAGTTTAACTATGATGATTGTCATGCAAATGAGAACAGAGGGGGGAAGGCAATTCACAAGTCTCTAAGTGTCACTGAAATTAGTTAGGGATCCTTATTCAGAAGTTCCTGAGTGGTCATCAATCATACAGGTTTTCTGGAGAGGGGAGAAGACTTGAGTGGCGGGGGGGTGGGGGAGTTGAGCTCATTTTTTCTCTACTAAATGAACAATGGTATTTCCATAGAAACAGCAGCAGTCCTGCAGCATCATCCACAGCCTGAGAGTGAGTCAGCAGCAAGAGCTGAGCCGGTTTCTGAATCCTCCCAGCATTGAGACCACCCAGCCCAGTGAGGACATAAACGCCAACAGTCAGGAGAATAACATGCAACCAGAGGTATGCGCGGGAGGCAGCCTTCATGCCAGGAGATTCTGCTGGGCGTTTTCTTTCCTAACTAAAGAAAAAAAAAAAAAAAGAGAGAGAGAGAGAAAGAAAAAAACTAAAAAATGGTGCTGGTCCAATAGACATTTCAAACAAGGTAACAGTATTTCTAATAGGAATTAAAAACATTTTTAAAAAATTACTGGAGGGTGCATGCACTTGTCGGAGAAGAGAGACAGAGAGAGGGAGAGAGAGAAAGTAAGAAAGCATCCCCATGGGAAATGGTCACACCATAATCCCTTCTCCTCCATTCTCCCCTTGGGATTTTGAGCACACACAGATGTGTATGCCTGGCATGTTTTTTAAGCCACCAGGTCCAGGACTTGAACCTTGCAGTGTGCTAATGCGGGGTCTAGCTGCCTCAACCCACAACATCACCAGCTGACCCACTACTAGGAATTCCTTTAATTTAAAGAAAAAAATTGGAACTTGTTGATGCAGGTGATGTTGATACATTTGCCATCCAGGATTCCACTGAAATTATTTCTAAAGATTGTGATTTGTTTGGACACAAAACAAATGCAAATGCCCTAGACTTCATAATTCTGTTGTTCAGTGGCTTAAGAGAGAACATTGTGTCTAAGGGCCTAATTTGAGTCTGGAAATGTCACATGAATTAGGAGAGTATGGTTCACATAAAGCTCAACTGTGTTTCCCTCCCCTTTCCAACTCTTAAAAATTTGCAATAAACTCATTGAAAATTATTTGCAACTGGCTATCAACCTCCTTAAATAATCAGACTCACTGAGAATTTGTCCTTAGTTGGGCACCAGAAGAGTGCATGGAATACGGAGGGCCAGCATGAGGAGCTTCTGTGAACCGGGAGGGCACAGCATATCTTCATTTCCAAACTCAGTTTATGTGTCTATCGGGGAAAAAAAAAAAAGGATATTGAGCCGAGAGTCGTCACCATCCTCAGGAGCCCTGTGCTGTGAGGAGCAGGGCAGGGAGGTTCCGCCTCTTTATGAGGCTGCAGTTATGATTGGAGGTTAACAACATGGAGCCCATCCAGTGTCTGCACGAGGCCCCGGGCAGTACCACCCTTCCTGGTGCAAAGCAACACTGTCCCGGCCCAGATAAAGCCTGAAGCCTAAGGTTGCGCATGCAGCAGGTGCTCCAAGAGGCCTTCTGGTTCCATAGCCCAGTTCAGGGCAGATCTTACATTGCCGATTCTCCGCCTGTAGGAACCTTCTGCCACTGTCTCCAGGGATTTGTGCGGGGATATTCAGCAAAATGGGGATAGATGTGCCCACGGGGCCCTGCCGTCGTGCGTCCTGAGGATGACTGGCAGTGGCTCACGGGTGGGAGTCGACGAGGGTGGCACAGACCGTTAGGCGGGGCTGCTCAGGCAGGGGGAAGTGAGGATTGCAGAACTCTGTTTTCAGAGGACACTAACGAGCCGAGAGGGGCTATTGAAGAGATGTGAGGAACTAGGTGTTGGTTAGGATGGGTAAAGGGAACAGGTGAAGCGGAGTGGATAAAATACAGGCTTTCCCTAAGACTTCGTAGTCTTAGGTTGTTTTCAGCCAGTCAGAGCACAGGGTTGCCTGGGGGAGCTCTGTTCCTGAAGCCTTGGGTGCTGACCTCCAGGGTTGGCAGGTCTGCCGTGAACCAGCCACAATCTTGGGCGCATGCACCTAGAAAGGATATTTCAGGTCGACGGCTATTGGGTCTGAACCAGGTGGCTTCCAGCACTGCTGATCAGCGCACGGCTGCCTGCACCACCCCGGCTGGGCTTTCTTCCTCACTTTCCTGCCATAGTTCTTCCTTTCTTCCTGAGTAGCTCCCCCACATCCACCAAGGATTCATTTGGATCTGGAGTTTCCCATTTAATATTTTCAGACAGTGGTTGACCACAGGTGACTGAAACCATGGAAAGCCCTGGATAAAGGGCTACCGTAATAAGAGACAATCTAGACCAGATGGGCAGAGTGGAGTAGAGCACAGTCAAGATAGAGCCATGACTGTTTAATCCTCCTCCCACACAGACCAGCAGCCAGCAGCAGCTTCTGAGTCCCACCCTTTCCGACAGAGGAGGAAGTCGGCAAGACGCAGGTGATGCTGGGAAACCCCAAAGGAAGATCGGGCAATGGCGCCTGCCTTCAGGTAGGTACATGGAGGCATTTCTTCAGTGCCTGGGGCATTTTAAAGATCTTTACTCTCTGTGTGACCCGTGCGTGGGTCTCGCATTTCAAAATGCAGGTCTGTGTCTGCAGTTATATATGCACTGAAACCATTTAAAAATGTATTCTCTTAATCAAATACACTCTCTTAAAAACAACTGCTCTAAATGTAACTGTTCGATTTCATTTAGAGCCTATGGTTAAGAAGGCAGCACCATTAACAAAGTGAGAGGTTACAGCTGAGATCCATAAGGAGCGAGAGTTTTCCAGTGTGCATCCAGGGTTGCTTAAACATAGGCAAACTTTGCTTTCTCTAAGAGGGAGTGGGCAGATCCCACTGAGTTCTGCCAAATCTCAACATACACTTTGTAGCTGAGCTAGTCGCATCTTCGTGCAGCCTGCGTTGTCAATAAAGATGACCATGGTAACACAAGCACAGCTGCACTTACTGCATGCCAGTCACTGCTCTAAGTACAGTACTCGTGCTCCTTTATTTAATCCTCACTTTCCTATTATTGTTCACATTTACTTATTCAAGAAGGGCATGTTCTTCTAGAGGACTAAGAGGCTTTGGAAAGCCAAGGTAATCCTGCTAAGGGAGCTCATGGGGAGAGGAAGAACAGTGCAGCGTGGCGTCCTCTGCACATGCTTTGTCCTGTTATAACTGAGTCCCTGGTAAGGTAGGGGCTTCTTAATGCTCTTTAACTGTCCCCGGACTTCAGCCCAATCCCAGTGGAGAGATGAATGATGTTGCAAACTCTTCGGTAGCCTGTCTAGTTCCTAAAGGAGATGACTGTGTTATTTACACAGTAGACATTAATTATTACCACCATTGAGGAAATAGTCTTTCTCATCTCTAGTAGCTGATTATCTGGGAGTCAGAAAGGACGTAGGTTTTGCCTGGTTCAAACAAAACCAGGGGTGACAGGAAACAAGACTGAGGAAGATGTGGGGCCGGTTATGAAAAGCCTTAAATTACAGACTGAGTAGTTGCAACATCATGCTGTAGCAGTGAAAAGACAGCAAAGATTTCTGAGCAAAATAGAGCATCTGGAATCCGTGCCTCAGGAAGGCCGACGTGGTAGCCGGGGAGGGAGAGCGAGTTGTTTGCAGCAGAGCCTGGAGGCAGGCTGCAGTGGAGGGTGAGCATCGGGTGGGGGCAGTGGCAAAGGGTGTGGTCCAGACACCACAGGGACAGATAGAGTCTAAGGGAGAGCTCACAGGCCTTGCTACTCACCTACATGAATAAAGGAAAGGATGCTGTCAGTGTGCCTGCAGCGGTCCAGGCCCAGGTAACCTCAGTGTCAAAAATGGCGATACCTAAAGAGACAGGCATTAAGGACATGCTCAGTTTGAGGAGATGAAGAACGGTAAAGGAGCATCTTCTAGGGGGACCAGCAACGTGCCAGGGGTCATGCCGTGCACTTTCGGAGGTCATCTCACTTCATCTACTTTAATCCTCACAATAGTCCAATGAGGACGTCTGTGTTCTCTTCATTTTACAATGGAGGAAACTTGGATTCAGAGATGTGAACGTGTCCAAGGATAAGTAGGGCCCAAGACCATGATGGTGGGACCCCAAAACCACACCTTCTTCCAGTACCCTCACTACATGTGCCCTCCCCTTACTATCAGTTACACTATCACCCTTTTCCTTTTTTTCTTCATATGCTAATGAACACCACTTCACACATATTTCTATACACCTGTATTTACCCAAATTATAGCTGTTAGTGATGATATAAAAGTGAAAAGGACCAGTAGCATTTTTTCAGATGGTATTATTAGTTGTCCATGAGCATAATTTGAAAATCTATTATGAACATAGAGATTCCAGTGATGAAAAGTTTCTTACTCTACATCGGTGGATAGGACTGTTAGGCACAAGTATTGCTGATGGCTTTCCAGAAATGATTGCAATAGGATGAAACAACTCTAAGTCGTTCACAGGACTCTCGTTAATCCCACAGCACCAAAACCAATAAGCCACTCAGTGTCTTCAGTCAACCTACGGTTTGGAGGGAGGACGACAATGAAATCTGTGGCGTGCAAAATGAACCCTATGACTGACACAGCTTCCTGTGGCTCCGAAGTGAAGAAGTGGTGGACCCGGCAGCTGACCGTGGAAAGTGATGAAAGTGGGGATGATCTCCTGGATATTTAGCTGTGGATCAGTACAGATGAAAGTTCAATGATGAAAACTGTTTTCTAATGTTTTCCTCAATTGTCCAATAAGCAATCAGTACTTAATTTCCAATTTGGCAAAGATTTTTTTAAAAATTAATTTTGTCCTGCCATAGGAAGGCATAAAAATTTCTCGGTCAAAGCTATGTGTTTGATAAGTTATTATCATATGTTTAAGAACATTTGTATAATGACAGTATTAATAATGTAGAAACTATACCAACAGCAGATGTAGATCATTCCAAAATTTTACATACTCTGTCCCTGTGAACTAGGGTGTTTACTCATCTGTGCTCTTATGCAGTGTTACCACCCCACGTGGCTGATATTTACGATATGGGAGCTATAGCTTTAGTGTGCATTTTTTTCCTATTTCCACTAGAAATACTTCTCTTGGGAGAATTTATTATTTATGATTGATCTGAAAAGGTCAGCACTGAGCTCATGCTAAAACAATAGTAGTTTTACAAACTACAGATTCTGAATTTAAAACAGTATATTCTTCTTCTCATGTTATGTTTTTAAAGTATGTACAAGGAAGTTGGAGGTCAGAATAAGCTGATTTCTATCCTCCGATACACTAATAAAACTGTTGCCCAGTTTCAAGAAGATTGTGTGTGCAGATACCAGGCATGGAAAATGGGCCCAGGATGTTAACCAGTCTAAATCTAAACGTGATTGTGCAACAATGTTAAGTTTCTTAAAAGGCCTTTTAATAAGTGGGTTTAGCCAAAAGAGTAAAACTGTATGGCACAACTTATAAAAAGAAATTGTTGCATGTGTAATGTCATCATTGGCTTCATGTTTAACCCAAAGGGTATCCATTTTGCCATAAACCACCTGAGACATTGTTGGTTGACCCCAACACAACAGGCTATGTTAGGTTTAAAGTGACTCTTCTGCTACTGGAATCACCTATGGAAATAGTGCTATTCTGCACAATCTTGCCCTGAACTCACAGATTTGGTACCCCACAACTTAATTGTATTTTCTTTTTCCATACATCAGTGGTCCGGGTTCTCTAGCCAAATGAGCAATGCAAAATGGTAACAAAGTACTGCTGGACTTCTTGTGCTGAGTCAGCTGAAGAGATGTCAGTTGGGGTCTTTACCTATACTATTGTGGGCCGGAGATTTGCTGTTCACATGTTTCTTTTTAATGGAGTGATTGTTTCAGAATCCTTTGACCTCCCTGGTTTGCTTTCTGGTATCTTTTTCTCTATCCAACTTTCTTCAAACAGTCAAATGTCACATTTCTTCTGGGTCACAAATGTAACACTACAGTGACTGTCTATAGCTTAGGGTTAATTGTGACTATGAGATAATGGCCAATTAAAGTCAGTGCAGCCAGAGGATTTCATTTAGTGTTATGTCCCCTCGGAGTTTACTTTTTGTACATAAGGAGGTAAAATAAATATTGGATTTATAAAAGAATGTACACTGACTTAATCATTCAAGCTCTTTCCTTGTGTGTGTGTGGGGGGGGAGGGGGGCAGGGGCACCAGGGAACTGGGACTTTGCAAAGCCTACATCGAGACCTCAGTCCATAATTAGTTGGCAAAGGCTGTCCCCGATATTCATTTCCGCTCAGTTCCCTGAGCCAGAATGTTCCTTTTACACTTCTGCCGATAAGGCTGAGTGAATACTCTGTGCGGGTCAAACCTACAGTGAAGCTGAAAGGGCATTCGCATGTTCAGAGCATGGGTCTGTACTAGTGCTGCATAAAAACAGGACTTTTTGTTTTTTTGTCTCCTTACACTTGAGTAATACAGTTTCATTCTTCCAGAACTGCTGAGCCCTGCCTGAAACGTCTGTAACTGATGTTCAGTAGAACATCATTGTTGTTCGTTCTGCAGTGAAGCCCGGGGCAGAGTAGCAGTGCACTTAAAGCTGTCGCTCCCTGTATCTTCAGCTAAGTGACACGGTCAGCCTTCGGTGGGACTCATCTCTGCGGTGTTCTTGAAGCAGATAGAGTAGCTGGCGGACCAGAGATGGTAAGTGTTGTCCCCGACCCCACTTTAGATTTTACCCTTAGGTAATTAAACGTATGAATAATCCAGTTACACAGATGGGAAAACGTAGGCCTCAGAGTTCCCTGGTCCTTAGGAAAGCCAGACAACAGATACTAATCCTGTCATCATGCCACCCACTGCCTTTAATTAAAGGATGTCAGTTCCAAGGGCACCCGAGAGCATAAGGTGTACACTACTTGACGCGGAGCCCCCGAGAGAGTAGGCCACACAAGCATTGCCCATCTGGCAATCTGAGGGGACTCAAGGGGATTCAAAATGCACAGAATGGCTGGGCTGATGCTATTCACCCCATACTGTTTTTTTGTATTTTTCCAGTTTTTTTTTTCTTTTTTTCCCATAGGATATGTACACTCACCAGAGAGAGACAGAGACAGAGAGAGAGGAAGTGAGAAATCACTCCCCTGGGGGAGTGATTTTCTTTTTTGGGATTCCAGACATGCATGCACACATGTCTGGCATGATTTTTCAAGCTGCTGGGTCCAGGATTTGAACCACAGAATCAATTATGTGGAAGTCCAGCACCTCAACCACCACATCACCTGCTGACCCTATTCACTCCATACTTAGCACTAGTTCCAGACCAATGCCTACCAGCAATGATGCTATTTGTGCCCTGCCAAGCTGCCTACAATAAGAGAAGGTAGAAGAAAACCCAGCATTACAAAGACTTGCACAAACGTTTTTCTGAGCCACTTGAATGTGTTTGCCTGTTTCTTTGTAGGAAGAGGCATACCATAGACCAGGGGGCTTTCAATATATTGTCTAGCAGTGGTACTTCTCAAACGAAGTACTCAACAGATCTCCAAATATTAACCAGGAAAAAGCAGGAGAGCCCTAGTTAAAATTGGAGTAAAGATAAGACCCCCACTCATGTGGCCTCTTATCCACTATTATGGGTTGAATCATGTCCCCCCAAAAGATAGGTTGAAGCCCTGACTCCTGGCACCTGTGAATGTGCCCTTATTTGGAATGAACCTTAGCAGATGTAACTAGTTAGGTCATGATGAGGTCATACTAGTGCAAGACCTTTCCTCCACTGTGACTCCAACCCAGGATGCTGGGAAGAAGAGGAGAGAGACACGGGCAGAATGCCCTGTGAAGAAGCGGGCAGGCAGCCAGGCAGATGGTCGCATAAAGAGGGAGGCAGAGACGGCAGTGATGTTCTCTCTAGCTGGGGAGTGCCTGAAGCCGCAGGAGGTGGAGCGTCTTCGCACAGCTTCAGAGAGGATGGCCCCACAAACACCTGCATTTTCACTCTGGTTGGCAGAACTGTGAGAGAATCAAATTCTGTTGTTCGAAGTCACTCAGTTTTTGATACTTAGCTATAGTAGCTCTAGAAAATTAACACCACCCCAGACCTACCTCAGCCCCCAAAGATGTCCCAGACCACCCTCGTACTCTAAGGACCCCACCTGAGAAACACTAATACAGATCAAAACTCGTGAGCGTTAGAGTTCAACAGACTTTTCACGTCCCGGATTTACTGGTCACTCTATGTAATCTTGGGTGAGTTTCACCCTCTCTAAGCCAAGATTAAGCTGCTTGCTTTTAAAGGGGGCAGCAGAAGGAATTTATTCACTTTATTTTCCTCAAAGGTTTACAGACTCTCCAAGACAGGCTTAGTCTGAGCTGACATATAGCATGCCTCAAGTCATTAACTAGCTGTCTATCCACCCTTCCAGAATCCTCAGTTGACCAATTGTTAAGCTTCTGTTTTCTCAGCTAAGGATATCAGGTTTGGAAACTATTGCAGGCCAAGATTTAAACAATAAGGTCATCTGGGGACCACTCTTTTCTTTAATGTCATTCAGCCTCCAGAGACAGCATTTCTATAAAATGCCTTTTTGACACCCTTCCAACAATATACAAGAATAATTATCTGTATGAGTTCTCTATCTTCTTATGTTTCCCCGTCTTCATTCAGCTTCTCCACAGGGTGACATGTGGGTAAAGAGATAGATTTTTAAAGAGGAAGTGTCCTGAAACCTTAGTGTTCAATTTACTGCGTGAGTTCTCCCAGTCCCTAGCAGTGAATCCAAATTGAAAAGATGTTGGCTTCCATCCCTCTGGGGAATGGGAGAAACAAACACAGATGGCAGGTCCAGGGCTGTACTGGCTGGTGCTGGGAAGAGGCTGCAGAGAGTTTGCTCACCTGTTCCCATGTCCCGCCCTCCGTGGACTGAGCAGGAGAGCTCTCAGGTCCTGCTGACCTTGAGCAGCCAGGAAACTCTCTCTCGGGTCTGAGTGAGTGGGCTCTGCTCACGTTGGGAAGCTTGTTCAGAATTGCTGTCCACAGCACTAATGTGAGGATGTTGCTGAGGCTGGAAAGAAGAACCCAGAAAGCACCAACAAATGTTGATCGTGGTGAGTTGTTCACTTCCCTCCTCTTCCCTTCTGTACAGCTCTGCCCTCATATCCCTGCAGGGCATTCTTGACTGACTCAGGAAAGCAGGTGGCTCCCCTCTTGCTCCAAGCCTGCCACCTGCAATCCAGGTCCAATCCTCCCCATACTCTGATGCCCACTGCTCTCACCTTGAGCCTCCCTCCTCAGTCGCTCTTCTTCCTTCAGAGTCACCTCCCTACCGGTCCCCTGTCTCTTTGCCATTCCCACCTCACTGGCTGCCTTTGATTTTTTTTCAGCCACAGAATCTTTCTCACCAGAGGAACCTCCTCTTCCCTGGATCACCCTCCCCACTCTGCCTTCTCACTAAAATGCCTCCTTCTGCCTTCAGTGCTTAGGTTCCTTCCACAAGGGAAGCTTTTTCCTCACACTTCTTTGTACAAGTTACTACTGTCGTGCAGTTACAGTAGAGCATCCCTAATTCAAATCCAAAATACTCCAAAATCTGGAACGTTTGAGCACAGACAGGATGCCACAAGTGGAAACTGTCACACTTCACTTCATGTGACAGGTCATAGTCAAGATATTGCAATACAAAAAAAGAAATTGTATAAAATTTCCTTCAGGTTGGGCCAGCAGATGGCGCAGCAGTTATGTTGCTGGACTCAAAAACATGCCCACCCCTGGTTCGAGTCCCAGACTCAGTGACTTGAAGCACATGTGAATGTGAATGTGTGCTCAAGATCCCAGGAGGAGAATGGAGGAGAAGGGATTGTGTTGTGGCTATGCCCCCTGGAGAAGTGATTTCTCATTTTCCCTCTCACCGTCTCTGTCTCTCTCTCTGGTGAGCACATGTACCCTAAGGCAAAAACCTCTAAAAAAATTCTTTCAGGTTATGTGTATAAGAAGTATATGAAACATAAATAAAATTTTGTGTATAGATTGGAGCCTTATCCCTAAGCTATCTCATTAAGTAGAAACAAATTTTCCAAAATTCTAAAAAACTCCAAAATCTGAAATCCATTTGGTTCCACGTGTTTTGGATAATGGATATTGAACCTACAGTTGTGTACATTTTCTTCTTTGGCTGCACCTCCTTAGGCACTAAGGCACAGTGAGTTCTGGGACTCTCTTTGGTCAGCCCTGGCACATGCTAGGTGCTCAGCAAGTACTTGCTGAATGAATAAGTGAGCGGAGAGATGGATAAGCTGGAAAACACTCCATGTCCCTTCCAACTGACTCTCAATCGCCTTTCATATCTGCCCAGTTTCCTCAAATTACTGTTTTGTGCTTATCCTCTAGGTTGTCCACAAAGCTTATATGCCTTGGGCAAGGAAACTTGTGTATCTTCCACCCTTCTGAAAGTGCTCATTCAAGGGTTACTTTCCTTCTTTAACTAGAAAAGGGTTTTTGTTTTGTTTTGTTTTGTTTCTTTTTTCAGTTTTATCTCTCTCTGTTGACCCTCTCTTTCAAATTCTACCTTTGGATTCTTTATAAGGCTTCCTTCTTCCTCAGATTTCTCCTTCATCCTTGTGATCATAAGACTCCCTCTGGGCTCACACTTGTCCTCTCCCCTGCCCCCTCAGCTGCACACACATAGGGTCTCCTTTCACATTTGGAGGAGTATATTCATAGGTCCTTCTGGGCTCTGCCTTGACTAGTTTTCTGTGACATCTGTGATGCTTCCCAAACCCTTGTCCCTAGCCCCTAGGGATCTAGTAACCCAACAAGATAACTACTCTCTAAAGTGCCTTCTCCAGCTGCCTTCCTTCTCACCGTGACCTTTTTTTGAAAAATTATTTATTTAATTTTATTTATTTATCCATTTATTTTAAATTTGATGAAAGAGAGACAGAGAGAGAGAGAGATAAAAAGAGAGAAGGAAAGTGAGAAAGCAAGCCACCAGGTCAAGGACTTGAACTGTGGTTGGCCATGTGGGAGTGTCTAGCATCTTAACCACCATGCCACCTGCTGGTCCCCATCACCTTGGCATTTTGTACAAATTCATTAATCTTTTCTTCTTCCTCTTCCATCTCAGATG